GATTCACAGTTTTGAAGTTTTAGAAATCATGGTATGGCACGATCTTAGCTTGTCAAGACGCAGCAGCCAGGTTGATTCGCAGCGCTGAAGTCACAGGAATTGTATTTTGGCGCGACGGATTACTTTGACGGTTGACTTTCAACGGGGCCTTTCTCGCAGTGAAGACGATTGTTTGTAGGGGTTTGCGAAGAAGAGGGAAGGTGATGTGCTGCAACATCGTTGATGCGTCTTGAGTTCACTCTGGACCTCATCCTCTCTGCTGCCGCCCCGCTTGCTTGATTTCTGGGGATGTTGTGCGAGTGAATCTTGGGCTACCGAGCCTCGTGAAGAGTGAGCAGGCTGGAGGTCTCGACAGCGCGGCAGTTGCGTCGGTCCCAGGGCGAGCGCATGTGCACGAAGTGGATATTTGTTCCGATAGGTGTCTGATCTGATCTTTGCTGCCGCCGCCGAGCCCCTCCCCGCCGTTTGCATCTCCCTTTCCTGTCTGGAAGTCCGGGGCTGGCCTGGGAGAGTTGCTGGAAGCAAAACCTAGAAAGCTCCTCCTCCTCCTCCGCCTCAGTCCTCCTCCTCCTCCTCCACCTCCTCGTCTTCCTCCTCCTCCTCCTCCGCTTCCTCCTCCTCCTCCTCCTCCTTCTCCTCCGCCTCAGTCCTCCTCCTCCTCCTCCTCCAGTTGCGATCCTCTTCGGAAACCCAGAGGTCATCGGCAGCCCAGAGGCTATCCGCTTCGACGCCAGTTTCGCCTCTACGATCGGGAGCACAGGACAGCAGAACCCTAATTTCCACCTCGCCGATCCAGAGACTAACGACATCTAGTGAGTCCAGGGGACTTGAGGAGGCCAGCGCCGTTCCGTCTCTTCGTGCTACCGCCAGCCCCAGCGTCCACCAGTCTCCCACCCCTTCGTCTCAGACTCCCCGGCCTCTCAGTCGCTTATTGGACCTTCTTGGGCTGAGACCGCGGAACCTCTACTCTTTTCCTGGCTCCTGGCCTCGGGCCGTTTTGTAGCTTCCGTGGGCGATTGTGCCCCGCTGTGCTGGTTTCTTTCGTCTCCTGTTCCGTGGGCCTGGCGCGTTTCAGGGCCCCCAGGGAGACGCCGTCCAACCTTGAAGCACTTCTCCCAGCGGTTGCTGCTGCGGCTTGCCGTGTGCTGTGCTCTCCCGCTGCTTCCTTGCTTCGCTGGTCTCCTCGCTTGCCCTCCGTGCGTGCGCTTGCCCGCTTGGCTGGCTGGCTCCTCTCCTCCTCGTCTTCTACCCCCAGGTGTTTTTTTTTTTTTTTTTTTTTTTTTTTTAAACTTAGTTTTGTGTTTCCATCCCCCTTGTTGCCCATCCCTACGGTCATCCCTGCCTTTAAAGCGTGGGAAACCAGCCGTGGTAGCGGGGTGGGTGGGAGCCCGTGCTTTCAGCCACGCGTGGGACGACAACAACAACTGTGTCGACCATGGCGAACGCCAGGTGGGAAGTCGGCGACGTCAAAGACGGTTCACCGTTTTTGTATGTGTACCGAGGCTTCTGATTGTGTCGACACCCTCCTGAGGCGCTGCTTGCTTGCTTGCGTGCTTGCTTGCTCCTCCTCCTCCTCCGCTCGACAACTTGGTGCCCTCGTCAGCTGCTGGCTTCTGCCGCTCCCTAAACAAGGGGCGCCCGCGACGGCCGCCGAGGGCCAGCTGGGGGGGGGCTGCGCCCGCGGCCGGCGCCTTCGGGGCGGCGAGTGCGCGCGGGGGCCAGCGACCGGCGCGCGCGCGCGGAGGCGCAGCTGGACGCCGCCGAGGAGGCCCGGCTCGTCGCGCTCCTAACGCGGATGAGCGGGCAGGCGCTCCTCCTCCTCTTCCGCCTTCTCCTTCTCCTCCTCTCCCTCCTCCTCCTCCTCCTTCTCCTCAGTCCGCCTCCTCCTCCTCCTCCTCCTCCTCCTCCTCCTCCTCCTCCTCCTGTTCCTCCTGGGCTTCGCCACGCGAGCGCTCTGCGCGGCTCGCGCCCCCTCGTCGAGGATGGGTCGGCGTCTGAGAGGGCGGGGGGGGCTTCTCAGAAGGAAGGAGCCTCCTTGGGAGGCTTCCTGTAAGGAAGGGCGTGGGATCTTCTCGGAGTCTCTCGGCCCTTCTCAAGAAGGCCTTTTTCCCCCAGATCCCCAGTCACCCAAAGAGTTCCGACGGCAGTTCTGTTCCGAAGTTTCTGGCCTTCAGTCGCCCGCTGTCGGGCCTTTGGGCCATACACTCTAGGCCTCCCAGCTGGGGTCGGAGTAGATGGTGTCGAAGGATCGCGCCGCATAGCCGACGCATCGGCGATGCGGCTCGATGTGGAGCCCGAATTTCTCCACGCCGACGGCGCCGATGCGTCACCGACGTCGCCGATGCATCTCCGATGCATTGGCGATTCGCGATCCTCCGACCCCATCTACTCGGACCCTATCTAGGAGGCCTCTATGTACGGAAACTGGGACGAGGCAACCATCCTTGGGAATAGCATCGAGACTTGCTGGGCCGACGCGCTGGAAAGATCCCGGCATCAGAGGCCTGGCCGCCTCCCTCGTCATCCTCACCCTGCCCCCCCCCTCTTCCCCAACCTCCAATCCTCCTCCTTCTCCAATCCTCCTCCAATCCTCCTCCAATCCCCCTGCTCCTCCTCCTTCCCATCCTCCTCCTCCTCCTTCTCCTCCTTCTCTTTCCTCCTCCTCCTCTTCCTCCGCCTCCTCCCCCTCCTCTTCCTCCTCAGCCTCCTCATCCTCATTATCATCATAATCAACATCAGCATCATCATCAGCATCATCATCAGCATCATCATCAGCATCCTCCTCCTCCTCATCATCATCATCGTCATCATTTTCATCATCACCATCATCATCCAACTCTCCTACTCCTCCTCCACCTCTTCCTCCTGCTCCTCCTCCTCCTCCGTCCCCTCCCCTCCCCCCCCCCCTTGGCGAAGGTTGTGTCTACTCCAGGGTGATGTCTGCGATATGCGTCGGTGGGGGCTCGGGGAGCACCCCGTGGCCCTGGTCGGACCGCCTCGGGGCCCCCGCCCACCCCCGAGGGTGCGGGCTGCGGACCACACCCTGTGCAAATCGCACTCTTCGGAGTCGCCGACCTCCCATCCACTCCCCTGCCATAGCAGGTCCTCGTAGTTCGTTCCTCGGTGGCGTGAGACTCGCTTCGCGACGGGGGCATTTCCATCTCACCGCCCTTCTTCCCTCCCCCCGTCATCCTCCGCCGCCAGACTGCAGAACTTCCGGCCAGGGCTATTCCCGGATAGTCTGATTCAGCATCGGCGTTGGCACATTCATGGTCGAAAACAAGCCTCATCGGGCTTGCACCCTGGTTAATTCAGCTCAGTCCCGACGAATTCGGCTTCATCCCCCGCTCAATGTTGCCGAATGTGGTTCGATCGCCCCTTCATTTGACTGGACGGCCCTTCATCGTCCACGCGGCCCACCCATTTCTTCCATCAGCGAGCGGGCTCCACTGCTCGCAAGATGCCTACTCGCAAACTCGTGAATCCCCCTCGGCGGAGCCAGGCCATGTGCGAGTACTTGCTCTCTGCGATTACAGTCAACCCGCATAGTGAGGATGAGCGACTTTCCAAGGCTACCCTCACATCCTCCCCCCTCGGCCCATCATCAGCGACTTTCGCTGGCCAACTTCGCTCGGAAAACGTCAACCTGGCCCTCCAAGGCCCTTGCAGCCTTACCGTGCATCCTTATCATACGGGTTGACTGCACATGCTTGCATCGGTGTGATGGGTCGGACAGTCGACCCGCATAGCAAGGATGGGCAACCTTCCCCAGGGGTGCCCTTGCATCATTGCCTCCTCGGCCTGTCCTTGGCCATGCCCGCGCCCCGCTCGAAGAGCTTCGACATGGGCGCCTAAGGCCCTCGCATCCTTGCAGTTGAAATCCATGGTAAGGACGCGTGCCTTTCTCTAGGGTACCCTTGGGTCCCTGCCTGCCTCTGCCTCTGCGTCCGCGGGGTTTCGGCCGCCAGCCGCCCAACATGTTCCAGCTTTGGCTTCCAATGGTCTCGCGTCCTTACCACGCGGGTGGCGCGCGCTGCCGCCGGCCCCCCGCGGCGCCCCCCGCCGGCCCCCCGCCTCTCCGTCGCCCAGCGGTGCTCTCCGCGCGTCGGGGGGGGGGGGGGGGCGGGGGCAGTGGCCCGCTGCCAAGAGCCCCTGCCCCCGGAGAATCCAGGTCAGACATCGAGCCCCCCCCCCTTCCTCCTCCTCCCCCCCCCCTCCTCCCTGTCCATCCCCTCGCCCTGCCACCCGCTCTTTGCCTTCCCTCCTCCCTCCGCCCTCCCCCCCCCCTTTCCCCACATCCACCCTTCCCTTCCGCCCTTAATCGCCCCCCCCCCCACCCCCCCCCCTTCTCGCGCTCCCCGCCCCTCCCGCGCTCTCCCCGCCCTCCCTCCCCTCCCTCTCACTGCTTCCTCTCCCCTCGCGCTGCCCCCTCCTGCCCATCCCTCCTCCCTCCACCCTCGACATTTAGAAATATGAGTACGTAGCCCCCCGCAGATGCGGATAAAAGAGTGAGGGGGCGGTAGGGACGTTGGCAGTTTGCGAGACTCTGGAGAAGACCGCCGCAGGCGCCAAAATTTTACACATTATACAACTAGCCCGTCGCAGGCGCTGATTTTTTCGTTAAACCAATGTGGGTAGGTCGCGGGAGGGTCGCTGTTGGGTCGCACATTGGTCGCGGGTGGGTCGCTGTTGGGTCGCGGGTGGGTCGCGGGTGTAGAGGGCAGAAAATCCATCCCATAACCATCATCCCGACAAGCGAAGCCGTTTAGTAAACGCACATAACGAATTTATCGAACAGGGCAGGCCTGTTTAGTCAACGCCCAGGGCCGTTTAGTAAACGTCAATTGTCGGGTCTGGGTGGTTTTTCCTACCTTGAGGGTGGGTCGCGGGGTGGGTCGCGGGTGGGTCGCGGGTGGGTCGCGGGTGGGTCGCGCGGTGGGTCGCGGGTGGGTCGCGCGGTGGGTCGCGCGGTGGGTCGCGGGTGGGTCGCGCGGTGGGTCGCGGGTGGGTCGCGGGGTGGGTCGCGCGGTGGGTCGCGGGTGGGTCGCGCGGTGGATCGCGGGTGGGTCGCGGGGTGGGTCGCGGGTGGGTCGCGGGGTGGGTCATGGGTGGGTGGCGGGTGGGTCGCGGGGTGGGTCGCGGGGTGTTGGTCGCGTGGTGGGTCGTGCGGTGGGTCGCGGGTGGGACGACAACAAACAGCAACAACAACAACACCATCAACAGCAATAACATTAACAACAACAACAACAGCAGCAGCAGCAGCAACAACAACAACAACACCAACAACAGCAGCAGCAACAACAACAATACCAACACCAACACCAACACCAACACCAACACCAACACCAACACCAACACCAACACCAACACCAACACCAACACCAACACCACCAACAACAACAACACCAATTCTAAGGCTGTTCGCTCTTACTTGCCCGCGTGCCATTCAACACGGGTTCCCCACACCCTCGATACCCGCCCTTTTTTGTCTTCGATCACGCCCCCTTTGGGAGGATTATTTCTCGTTGCGGGGCGGCGGGCTTAGACAGGCGGGCAAACCTGAACGGTTGGACGATTTTTTTTATGGACGTACATGTGCCCGCTATTGGAATTGGTGTGGGCCCTGCAAAAAGAGGAGGGGGATAACGAGGGAGAGTGGGAGGAAGGGAGGGGGAGGGACGAAGGAAGAGGGGAAACGCCAGGAGAGAAGGAGCGAAGAGGGGGGCGGTTGATTAGAGGCGGAGAGAGAGAGAGAGAGAG